GTCTCTTTTCCTTGGTGGATTTTGATAATCGCCCGCCACCAGCACTTTTCTCCACCTAGATATGCTTTTTGGCCTTTCTTCTCTTTGGTAGAGGCAAGGGGATTTTGTTCAATTTAGTGCTTGTTATTGTCCATTTCCTTCTTGAATGTTGATTTACTTTTCTATTTAATTCTGGCCCTTCCCTTCCCCACCTTACTGTTTTTTAAGTGAGCTTTTTTAGTGGTTTTTTTGTTGTGTTTGGGGGGGGGGGGAGTCGGGGTTGTGTGGGTAGTGGCTTTTGGTGGGATGTTTTGATCATGTAAAATTGTAAGCTAAGTAGTTGCCTAAATTACTTTTGATCCAATGGTTTAGCTATGTTATGCATAAAATCCTATTGAAGTGCTTGTTCTGATTTGATCATATGCAGTTTGCCTCTGCAAATAGTTCCACTAATCTTTTTATTTACAATGGTGACAGGAGAGGAACTGTGGGCTAAGCATGGACGCCAACAAATTACATGCTTTGAGGTACTTACTCATACAGTTGTTGCTTCAGATTCTACTTCGACCTGGGGAAGTCCATGAGGCTGCAAATGAACTAATCATATGCTGTAAGAGGACTTTTGGCACTTCTGATCTTCTTGACTCCTCTGGTGAAGATGAACTAAATGGGGATGGTACACCTGATATAATGGATGTACTTGTGGATACAATGCTTTCACTGCTGCCACAGTCGTCAGCTCCTTTGCGCTCTGCTATTGAGCAGGTGGGTGGCTGAACAGAGTATTTCATTCCTTAGCTTTTGTCTGTTTGACTAGTAAATGTCCATTACCAATTTTTTGGTAATGTTTCACAAGCTGTTGATAATAAATAGAGCTAATAAATAAGGTTTTTGAAGTTTTGACTTGCTGTAGTTTGTCGTGTATGTGTTTTGAATGGGATTTTTTTTTTTAATCCTTTTCCTCAGTGTTTAAAATCTCAATGTATGGAATTTGTTTTTATCATGTACCATACATGTTGAACTTAGTCTTTGTGTGAGAAATTCAGTTGAGGAAAGAAACTATACGTTTCTTTTGTCGTCGGTATTGGTTATTAGTCATTTGTAGTGCCAGTTAAGCGTGAGCTTACCAAGAGTGGCATCTCAACAATTCATATTCAGAAGTTTCTATCCCTGCATTCCAAAGTGGTCTTAGTTGGACTGGGCACGCACTAAGAAAGAGTTTAAAAAATCTTGGAGTTCAATAAATGGAAAACATGTGGGGTCCATATTAATTAGCTGAAATCTACAGTGATGCTGGAGAACATGTGGGTATACTTTTTAAGTGTGGAAAGTATTTAAGAGTGGAATCTCACTGACTCATATTGATATATTTTTGTCCCTGCATTACAAATTGGTTTTACTTTGACTTAGCATGGGTATTATGAGAGTTAAAAACGTTGAGCTGGTCAAGAAGTGGAAAACATGTGGGGTCCATATTGATTAGCTGAAATTTAAAGTGATAAACGTGTGAACATGTGGGGTCACTTCATTTCTCTCTGTCAGTTTCCAAGTTTCCATGTAAGAAATTTTTTTTTGTTGGGAGGAACTAAAAACTCTAGGAAGACGGTCAATTTGAATGGGAGGGAAATACATATGTCAGGGGCAAGGAGAGATGAGATCAACAGTACAGTATCTTGTGGTTGTACAAGATTTTGATTCTTTGGTGGCTGTTTGTAAATGGTTGTAGTTGTTGAAACAAATGATCACTGTCATCTTGTACTTTGGTGAACAGGCATTTGAAATCATTCATGTTCTAAGCAAATCATGTTTGTTAAGCTTGAATTTTTGATTGGTCCACTTCCAAATATCTTATGTGGATATTACTCTTGATGACGGTGTTCTCTGAAATGTATGTTAAATGCTACTTTTGGATTTCCCAATATTTAAATGGATAACTGTTAAGAATATTCAAATTTTTTTCAGGTTTTCAAATATTTCTGCAATGATGTCACAGAAGATGGACTGATGCGGATGTTACGGGTGATAAAGAAAGATCTGAAACCAGCTAGACATCATGACACTGGCAGTGAAGATGAAGATGATGATGAGGATGATCTTCTTGATATTGAAGAAGCCGAGGAATCAGATGAAGCTGAGACAGGTGAAACAGCTGACAGCGATGAGCAGACAGATGATTCTGAGGCAGTGTGCCAAGTTGAGGCAGCAGGCAACGAACTTCCTGAGAATTCTGATGATTCGGATGGCGGGATGGATGATGATGCAATGTTCAGAATGGATACTTATCTGGCACGTATTTTTAAGGAACGAAAAAACCAAGCTGGAGGTGAAACAGCTCAGTCCCAGCTTGTACTATTTAAACTCCGTGTTCTCTCTTTGCTGGAGATTTACCTACATGAGAATCCAGGCAAGTATCTGTTGCTAGATTGGGTTAACATTTGTTGCAAATCTGTTCACTATGGGCATTGAGGTTATTTTGTATTTATCAATAACTATAGGTTTGAAAACAAAAGGAATGAAAGTCATAGATAATGGATCAACATCTATCTAACATTTATCCTAAATTAAATCTCAAGTTACTTTTGAACATGTTTGAAACCTGAGAATAAGGTTAGGTATACACATTATATTTAATTTTGACTCTGCGTTTGCCTGTCTATTGTATAACCTAACAATTACTTTTAATTTCAGTTTCCTGGTAACTCAAGAATGATATTCTGTGTGCCTATAATAATAATGATAAAAGATTTTGTCTGCCTTCCCATTTGCTTTGCTTTTTCTTTACTGCTTTCGGGGTAAATAACGGTGATTAAGTCTGGCAACCTTTAATAGCCAATTGTAAGGTTTACCTTGCACAATATATGTACATGGTTAAGAATCTAGTAATATAAGGAAGCTAAAAACAATCAATTGCAGTTCATCATTTTGCTTCCCATGTTGCACTTGTTTCATTGTTCTTATACTTTGACTATCTTCATCCTTCTTTCTTTTCTATTTTTGAGTCAATTTCGTGTCTGCTCTTTTTGTATTATTTTAAACGGCATATGGTCCTATAACTTTTATTGCTAGATAGTATGGCCTGAATGAGTGAGATGGAGAATAGGGCTAAACCAAATAAAGGATTTTCCTGTTCTTGCATTGGAAGAGAACATTGCCTTATTAAGTCAAAGCATATCTTGGTTGGGATTTGAGAGGAAGGAGACTTTATCAAAAAATGAGCTGGAGTTGAAGAATATTGTTCCCAAGGATTCCAACAAAAATAATTAAGACAGTAAGGCGACATGCTTGTGATTAGATTATACAGTCACAAGGTATATCTCTGGCATTTGCCAGTGTGCATTAGGGTAGGTTATTTTGAAATAGTAAACATGCATTAGAAGGATCTTTAACTTTTCACTATTTCTAAATTCTCTTGCTGTAGGTAAGCCACAGGTGTTAAAAGTGTTATCAAATCTGGCTCAGGCATATGTAAATCCTCATACTACAGAGGGTAGTGAGCAGCTTGGTCAGCGTATCTGGGGAATTTTGCAAAAGAAAATATTTAAAGCCAAGGAGTATCCAAGGGGAGAGGCCGTGCAGCTCTCTGCACTTGAATCTCTTTTAGAGAAAAACTTGAAGTTAGCAGCAAAACCATTTAAGAAAAAGAAATCAGGTTCCAGTACATCGAGTAAGAAACACACAGCCTCGTGGAATCGACACAAGATGGTAACTGCACTTGCTCAAAATTCAACATTTTGGATCCTTAAAGTTATGGATGCAAGAAATTTCTGTGTGTCAGAATTGCAAAGGGTTTTTGACATTTTCAAGGGTATGTTGGCATCTTATTTTGATAGCAAAAAATCCCAAATTAAATCTGAATTTCTGAAAGAGATATTTAGAAGAAGACCATGGATTGGGCATAATCTGTTTAGCTTTCTGCTGGAGAAATGTGGTACCGCAAAGTCACAGTTTCGGCGAGTTGAAGCTCTTGATGTGATAGCCGAGGTACTGAAATCCCTTACTACTAACGCTGATGACAGTAGCCAGCATTCACTGGTGAAGATTATGAAGAGCAATCTTCAGCAGTTATGTGACCTGATTAAGGAGTTGGTGACAAATATGCCAGAGAAGCAGTCAAGAAGGGCTGATGTGCGGAAGTTCTGTAGCAAGGTCTTCCAGACTTTAACTAGCCTAAACTTGACCACGTCATTTCTTAAAGCATTGGAATCTGATGCACGTGCTGCCTGTGAATCTCAACTTGGTGATGTATTTCTTGCTTTTGTGAAGCGGTGACATGGGGTGTACTAGCGGTACGGGGTGGCGGTTCTTGGTTGCTTCTTGGTGGCTATCTGGTCCTGCCTCACTGATCACAGAGCTCTTTGTTATCGTTAGTTGTCATGTTAACAGAGGAGAGAGCACGGTCGTTATGGTCATAAAAGGACCAGTCAATTTTGGAATATTGTAGTTGTGTATTTAAATGGTTTTTCCTTTGTGGTCTTAATTTTCAGGTTACTTGCTGGAATTGAAACGCGTAATACTTTCTCCCATCCTCCTGTTTTATAAACCTCTACCTCGTCAATGAGCGGGACGGGTCGGTCTTGCTTCTCTGTAACTTGCAGTTTAACTTGAATGCTGGAGACAAAGATCAGTTGAATCAAATAGCACACAAATTTGCACTTTTGATTTGCTCGGAATTCCCATATGAAGGGGCCGGGCCAGTCACAGCTGCACACCTATTATGTTGTTATGCATGATGCCTTTTTTATTATTCATTAAATAGAACAAATAGAAAATGACAATCAAAACCATAAGCTTTTCATTAATCATTTCACGCAACCAGCCAAATAAGGCAGGCCAATACACCATCCAATGCTGCTAATCTGCTTCACTGATTATCCAGTCCCATATTTCTCATCGACCCCTTGAAACGTTTCCTTTTCACTTTTCCATCGACGCTTTGTGGCCAATTTTTTTTTTGTGCCAGGCACAAGGACATGAAAGAAATTGCTGTCTAATTAGTAGGATGGATATGAACATGGCCAGAATTTAGGGAAAGCTTGTTTTATACAATTCAATCAATCTGAGTTTTGAGTTGCATGTACTCAAAATTTTTACTCCTGATCACTAATTCTTGTGACCAGGCACTTGGGAAACTACATAGAAGCATAATGCAATTTGCTAGTGCGCAAAATGTCTTATCCCCACAGCAATAAAACTGAGACAGATCAAAGCTATATTAGAGCGGTAAAACTGTACAAGGGGGCATCTCAACTACCTACATTATCTTATCATTCACCACCGGTAACCAAAGCCAGTCTCCTCAGACCCAGTGTAGGAGTATAAGACTGCAAGTCAAAACCTAACTACCACTCACTCGTCTTTCCTCAGCCAAAGCTCATCCAATCTTGGGCTTCCCTCTGGGATATACAAGTTGGCGTGATCTTCATGACTCTGCAAAATTTCATCAAAATACTTGAGCCCGGGCTTATAAACTCGGCAGAAGTTGGAAGGGTGTCAATGGAGGGAAGGGTGTAAATACCTTCTCCTGAAACAACCAACCTGAAAGGAACGAAACCCACAAAGGGAGCAACTACCCAATTCAGCAGTTTTTCCACAACTCGGTTCAAGATTGTGCATCATCAGCATCCGAGTCACTCCCAGAGGAACTACCTGAATCCGAATCTGTACAAAGAGCCTCTAGCTGGTAAACATCCTATACAAACATTCTAAATCCGGGCAACACAGCTCAACCTTAAAAAGTAACACAAGAATCTATACCACTGGAAGAGGAAGAATCACTGCTTGAGCTGCTGGAACTGCTAGAACTACTACTGGCATGGCCATGATCTTGACCAACACCGTCATCTTTCTCAATTTCCACTGGGGGAAAGCTCGTTGCAGGCATGTCATCATCGATGTCCACATCCTCATCACCAGCTTCACCTTTCCTGGGTTTCTTTGTTGAATCATTCCTTTCACTAACCGCACCCTGTTGCAACATTTACAATAAAAAAATAAATTCAGCGTTAGTACAACCCAGGAGAAAACAAATGAACAAATTCGAATTCAGAATCCAACATAAGGACGGGTCAGCATATATTACCCCATCAACTTCCGCATTGGAGGTACTTGGTACAGCTGCTGCATTGTTGTTATTCATCATCAATGCCTGCCTCTTAGTTTTGCTAACCATCTTCTTCCAATTGGTGACAAATCTATCTAGCTCCCAAAGAGTCTCTGTGTCGAGGGCTTCAATGTCGAGCTCAATTTCATCACCCTCTTGCGCCAAATGCTCATTTCTCTTCCGTATAATCTGCACCAATTGTGGCATTTTCTCCTGAGGTAAACTCTGCAGCCCAATTCCAAGCTTATGCTTCTCCTCCATACTCATCTCTCTCTTATTCGGATCCTTAGCCCTTGGCTTCGGCTGCTTCGTCATTGCCGCTCTTACAGCTGTCTGTGATGGCATCGCAGGAGGAGCCCTCACAGGAGAAGGGGTTGGTACTGGGGATTGTGCTTTTGGAGGATTCAAGGGAGGTGGGGGATTGGAAGGGGTCGAAGCACTAGAATGAGCCTGCATTCTCTCCTGCTTCTTTACAACAGGGCTAGATTTAGGTTTTTTTGCCCTTTCTGGTGTTGGAATGTGATTCCAAGAACTTCCCTGCAATTCTTCTACCAAACCACCAAAACCACTGCCGCCGCCACCAGAAAACCCCCTACGATTACCAATTTTCTCCTCGATCGGCCTGAACAATTCCTCAAATCTGGCCAGAAGAAACTCAGCCCAGCCATGGACTTGATCCGTTTTAGGGTTATACAACAGAGAATTATTGAAAGTCAACCGCACGTCCGCTGCAAATTCAGCAGGGGAAGGATATTTGGCCATATTTGATTTCACAGTCCCCAAATCCATGGGCCTTTTCACAATTTGATGATAATCGTGAAGCCCTAAATTGACTGCATCAACAGGTGCATTAAATATCCAGCCGTTCTTATGTTTCATCAGCTTCGTCAAAATCTGCCTACATTCCTTCATCAAACCCTCATTATCCACGCTATTGCCAGCATTCCCGCCGGGTGCCCTATCTATGCCGTTAGGAAATCTTTTCGGATCTTTATTGGATCCTACAGGAATTGGCCTTTTATTGCCAGGCAGTTTCTTGGATTTTCCGTGAGATTTGGGATTGTGAGCGCTGTTGCAGCCGCTGAAATGACCGGACTCTATTCGATCTCGCAAGTTTCGGATCTGCTCCAGCTCAGAAAGCAGGCGTTTCCGCAGCTCCGACAGCTCGCTTTTGGTATAGGACGTGACGTTGTACGTCATATACCGGCCATGGTTGAATCCGTTTCGGTTGATTTCAGTTGTTGGAATTTGATTGAAAGAGTAGGCATCGTCGGACGCCGTCTGAGTAACGGCCGGCGAATTGTCGTGGTTCTGACGGCCGCCGCCGTTGACTGCTTGAGGGTGAAATTGCTTCTGCTTCTTCTTAGGGTTAGGGTTAGGGTTAGGGTTAGGGTTCAAGTAAGGTAATTTCCCCATGAATCCGCCACCAGATTGCGCCCAGCTCGATTCATTGCCGCTGGCTAAGACGGCGGAGGCCATGACGTGCACCGGCGTACGGCAGATCTCCGGGGGATTCGATCCCTTTCAAGTTGTTCGAAAAACATGTATCTTACAGAGCGTCTGCTCCACGCGCTCGACGAAATTTCCCGGCAAATCCTCCTCCGGTCACCGGCCTCCGGCAGCTATTCCGGCGAAAGGGATCTGGATGAATTTGTCGTGTGGAGGAAAGTAGAAGCGGATGCCAAAGGAGGTGTGTAGAGGCTAGGGTTTGGATGGATTGAGCGAGGAATGGGAGAGGGAGGGCAAGGCTTCTTAAAGGCGATAAGATCTACCCGTGAGATTTGCGGGCAGGATTGGGACCTTAGATGTAATTGTGATTGTTGATCCAACGGTGCACGTGAGTTTGTTTGCTGTCCGAGGGGGGTGCCCGGGATATCTGGCATATACGGTGGAGATGATAGGAACAGAACACGTGGAGGAACAGATGGCGTTGGATAGAGAGGTTTCCTGGAAGAGAGGGGTGCGGTATATATTAATTGAGTTTGAAGTGAATTTGGGTCGCATGTGTCGAGAATTTAGGGTTTTGTGGAAGAAACCCAACACACCCCAAGGCCCTCCCTCCCTCCCGCTGGGGGACCCGCGGGATGCTGAAATGGGGCCCAAGGGCAGGTGACGTGGAATTGGAGGTAGAAGACGTGAAGTAGAAGCAAGACGCGCATTCGCATGTGCGCAGCTGCCGACGTGTCAGGGAAGATGGTGTCAAACCCAGGGGCATCTTAGGAAAGTGACGACAACGTAAACGTTAAATTAACGCCGAAAGTCGTGAGACCGTGATTCCGCTTCTACCCTCGGAAGGTTCCTTTTCCCCCTTTCCCTTTTAATGGTCCCTCTAATGGTCTTTCCCGTATGGTTACTACAAACATGTTTGTTTTCAATAACCACATGCACATATTTTAGACGAAACAAAAACATCATTCTGTACACATGTCACCGTTTTTATTGCACAATTTTAGATAAACGCATGTACATACTTTAGACATGTTGGTGATCTAGTAAGGCCCGTCTCAATTGCAACTTTTTAGATTCTTTTTTTTTTTTTAAGAAAAACATACCATGATGATGATGATGATGATGATGTGATATACATAAAGTGAAAAATTTTTTAAAAAAAAGATGATTAAAAAATATATCGAAAGAATTTTTCTCACAATCTAAATAAAGTCTGAATTTTGTTTATTTGTAAAATGTTACGTGAAAAAAATAAAAGTAAACTGCTTTTTTTTTTTTTTGCATGTTATCATTTTTTTCCACGCAAATAGCGCATTGATTTAGTGATTTTTATTTTTATTTTGTGAGAAGCCTCGAGGACATACTTAGACAAACGAAAAGAATATCCCAATCAAAATTGACATAGCCTTGGAAGAGGTAATCCAATTTTAAGGTCATAAGAAGTTAAGATATTTAATCTATCAAATTAAGAAGAATAATTATACTTATAATTATCAGGTGTTGATATTAAAATAAATTTGTCACTTATACAATACTAAAAAAAATGCTGACTCTACTTTCATTGATTACAACATTTATACTAACAAATTCTAATTTCTAGAAACTATTAGCCAAGCTATCACTATCATTACTACGTAAGTATGTTTGGATAGTAGATTATTTAGAAAAATCACCGTAACAATTTTTTGCAACTGTGACCATTGAAATTGAGCAAATGTCTTCTTTTTTTAATAAGGCAGGTAAATAATTTTTAGGCAAATAGTTCATATCCACAGACGCAATGCTGTTGTTACCTTGGCAAACCAGAAAAATCAACTCTCCTAATAGAACGAATGTTTTTTTTTTTTTAGAGAAAAAAAAAAAGAAAAGCAGAGAAAAGCGCCGAGTGTCCATTTCGCCGGTATACATACATAGGCACATAAAATAAAATAAAAAACGTTGAATCGAAAATGAGAGAAAAGTAAAAGAAGGCAACTAGTTGTTGAAAAAGGCAAAGTTGGGAATTCACACGATACAGCAGGGGCGTTGCCGTAGCTTTGCCCACGTGTGTCCCACGATTGACAGCCGAAATCAACTCTGGCACCACACTACTTTAAACTAACATTTACATAGGAGTATTTTTTTTTTTAATTGAAAGGAAAAAGGTGACGGTATAAAAAGAGTTTTTTTTTACACACACACACATATATATATATAGATATATGAGGACCCAGAGGCAGAGACAGTTCCAATCAGGACGGACACTTCCCTCCATTAAAAGCAGATCTCATCTCGTGTCTAAGCTGAAAGATGATACTCTACCTATGTGATTTCCTCCTCCGCTGTCACTTCATCAAGTCTCTTTCCGTGGAAATGCCCTGGAAGCCAAGCCCCGACGAGCTTTCCCTTCCACATCCCTCCTTCTTCTTCTTCTTCTTCTTAAGGAATATTTTCGATCCAGAGCGAGGCACGACACATCCATCGTCTGCAGAAGAAACCTTAAACCAATATCCGCAGAATTTGAGGTATGGCGCCCTGATTCAGCTCTGAATTCCAAATCTAATTAACTACCATATTTGTTCTTTCAAATCTTTTGGAACCCCCCCCCCCTTTTTTTTTTGGCCTTTTTGGGACGGCCTGGAGGAATAAACACTAGGGAAAAAGCAAAGCAGAAGTGGTACTAGTAAAAGTTCTGCTGCTAAGAATTTGCACCATGACTAGTCAAATACTACTAATCAGGCAGTGTAATCCTCTGTTTTCTTCAAGCTCAATCAAAGGTTTTTTTTTTTTCCTTTAAAAAAAAAAAAAAAAAGTCATTGGTTGAACCGACTTTCATGAAATATTAAAATATTTCGAGGAGGAGGTGCCGTCAGCCGGACCAAATAGACAAAAACAAGCCTAACCACAAGCAAGACCCCACCACAAGCTTAAGTTAGAACTATTTTCTGCCGTCTCATTTGGGGGCCGGACGCCCGGCTACTTTGAATTTGAAAATCCAAAAATTTGAATCAGGGTAAGTCGTCTATTCATATCATATCAGAGGCCAATTGTAGCAAAGATCGAGACTCGAGAGCCTCTATTCATGTACTATATACTAGTAATTCAAGGCAAGGAGCATCTCGTTTTGCAGATTGGCTTCTTGAGCAGGATGGGGATAGGCATACTTTGGTCTGTCTTATCATTTGACTGCAAAATTGACAGCATCTAGGGGCTGGGGGGACGAAGATATTGAACTAGACTGGAAAAACTGAGGAAATGAGATAGTCCTGCTTATTAAAAAAAGAAAAGTTTAAGAATAGTGAAAAAGGTGGAAATAGATAGTTTCTGGGCATTGCATGGAGACGAAGGTTTTGGAAGGCTCTATCCGGAACCAGAAACACAGGAGATCCTGAACTCCCGTAGAATCGGAACAAAAATAGCCGCAGAGGCTGCAAGACACTGGATATTCCCGCAGTCCCTCCTCTGTTAAGGTGCCATCTGGGGCGGCTGTGCACACGCGGCAAAATAAGGTGCTAAAGTAGCAGAAATCCGAAGGGGGATCAAAAAGGTGCAGAGGTTTTTGTACAAAGTACTAGAGTATTTATTAGAACTGCTTCTCCAAGAGTTCAAGTTGGAACTTTCAGGTCTGTCGGGGAGCAAACGATTGAAGGCGATCCATCCATACGCGATATCAATTGGCCCCCTTTTCCAAACCGTAATCGCAAGCCAGGATTATTCTTAATTTATTTTGACAGTAACTGCACCTCCGGTTCCGCGTGTCCAAGCCGACAAAAGCTATGGTTTTCGGTCTCAAATTATAGATTTATTTTCTCTTCGAGCAGGTGGTTGTTGGCGTATAAATTTACGCCTATGCCCATGATTATTGTGCATTTTAATTATAGCAAATATGCTACTGCTAGTATCACCACCTAAGTGGGCGAACCCTTGTTTTCTACCAAAAAATATCACATCTAAGTGGTTTGTTTCTAAAATAATGTGCCGTGCACCCGTCTGATCCGGTGGTGGTTCAGTTCCCTCCGAGTTATTCCTGGACTTCTTTAGATCTGCCTCCTCTTACTTAGTGTAGGATAGAATAGGTTTATTATTTTCGAAAAAAAAAGTATCAGTTAATAATTCTAATAAAAATAATAAATATAACGCTAAAACAAGCATTAACGGAAGGAAGGAAAATACTAAATACAAATAATTACATTAACAATCCTTCTTAGTCCAGGTGAGTTTTATTTTTATGAGACCAACTTGAGGAGTCATTATATTGAACATAGATTTTTTGAGTGAAGATTCTATAACAATCGGTGAAAAAGGGCATCCATCCACAGGTAACAATCGGCAACCGAATCACAGCTCTCTTCCCGCGAGATCATGCTACTACTTTTTGTGAGTGCCTTGGATTCTTTTCTTGTCAAGGCGGGTTATCGAGATTCTTAGGCGTAGTGATTACTGATTCAACGTTACAAACTCGCAGAGGATCTTAGTCGTGACAGGTCGGTTTCCCTGGCACCAACTTGGGTAAAGTGGTACTAGTGTATATTTGAGCTGATCAGAAAGAGAAAATGACACGCATAATTATTACCTCTTCTCTTCTTTTGGGAGCATTTACTCGGCCACGACTGCTTGTCATACGAACATACATATATATATATATATATACACACACACACACACACACACACAGAGATAAAATGAATCCCTTGTCACAACCAAAATAGGGGGCTGGTCAAGGATTGATCCCCAAAAATGCAGAGCAGCATAAAGAAATAAAGGTACATAAATGAGTATGAGTTCGTAGCAGCACAAATTAAAAGTCTTTACACGATCGACTTAGATTTATTTTTTATTCTATCTGGTCTAGAAGAAAAAAGAGAAGTAAACATAAGATTAGGGCCAACCAGGAACAGCTGTGAAATCACAATCCTGGCTAGTCCACGAAGATAACAGAGGGATCGCAGCAACACTCGTCCAGAAGACAGCAGCAACATAAAGCCGCAAGGCTGCAGAATATGTATTGCACACACGAAATCAATCCACATCCCCGTTATCTAGTCTAGATATAAAACAGCAGTGTAGTAAATTTGATCATTCCCATAAATGACCCAAAAGAAAAAACAAACTGAAAATGTTCAGAAAAGAGAGGAAGGTTATGTCCCGGACGCGTACCATCCCTCGAGAAAACCAGTCTCTTTCTTAGGTGGGGGAGCAGCTGTATACTGATACTGGGGTGGTGCCATCACGGGAGGCCCCTGATAATATCCTGTCCCAAGTCCCAACAGTTATGTTCTGAGCTCTAGGAGTATAGCAATTAGCACAGCAAAGATAATATATGAAATTTCACACAACTTTTTTGGACTCCACACTTATCGAATTGTCGATCACTACGAAAGCATCAGTAGAGTAGAGGACAAATTGAGGACTTTCCGAGAAAGTGTTTTATTTACCTTGAGGAGCGTAGGGATATGCATACTTTGGAGGCTCGCTCATACTGTGTATTGATGAAATACCCAGGCTGCACAAATATATGTGCCAAACGAAACTTGGAAGTATATGTATATATGAATCTGCGGGGAAGGGGGTTTTAATTTAAATACAGTAGCCTGTTTTCATCTGCTGGTGCAAACCTTTGGATATATATACACACATACAAACAGCAGAGGAGAGGAAAAGTTTCAGGAGAACAAGGCATTAGATTCTTCTTCTTTCCTGAGGAAAAAGAATCACTTTTGACAAATGGGCAGGAAAAAGAAAGGCTCTAGAGAGAGCTGGGTTCAGTTTGAGAATTTAGACCAGAGTTTTTAATTGGACTCCCTCCCAAGCAGCTGTGATATAATTTGACATTGGGGATTTGTGGAGTACCATCCCATGACGGCCTCCCCAATCAGCGTACATAAATATAATGTTGGGCATATGGCAAACGTGGCTCAAAGAAATGCAAAAAGGGCCTGAATTGTGAACGACGACCTCTGAATCAATCCCCATATGCTTATCCTTTACTTGCATTCGAGTCCAAAGCATATATTTGACTATTTCCCCGCTCCTTTATCTTCGTGAAATTGAACTTTCAGCCCCAGTAGCGAGACGAGGAATTCGACAATTTTTTTTTCCCCAATGGTCCTTCTCGGGTCTAAAATTTGTACTAGCTTTTTTGCTTTGGGTTTTGGATAAAAATCAAAGAAGGATTCAACATGGATTTAAGTTCCGCTTGACAAAAATTCACTGTGATGTACAAATATTTCAATTCAAACTCTTCTAAGTATTCCTCAAAGAGAAAATTATTCCCGAGCTATAACCAGGAGAATGACAGACATCCGCTAGTAATCTAATCGAACTGCTCAAAAACTTGACTCGGACTCGGATTGACCAAGCTCGATAAGCCGAACAAGTCGAATTCGAGTATTCATATGCAATGCTCAAAAGCTCAACATCGAGCTTTTTAATTTTAATTTTTTAATATATTATTAAATTTTATACTGTGAGCTAACATCAACTTGATTACATCCCTACAATGAACTAACTTCTTGATTTAAGTTCCGTTTGACAAAAAATTAGTGTGATACAATACTTCAATTCAAACCCTTCTAAGTATCTCTCAAAGTTGTACGATTGACTGGTGTCTGAGTTGAAAATTATTCCCGGCCGAGCCATAAGCAGGAGAATGACAGCAATCAGAAAGGAGGCCCAGCTATGAGCTAACGTCACGTCAACGTTGGAAGATTTTTCAGAGGAAGAAACGGGCGGGAATGGACACACTAGAATATGCACGAAATCAATCAATTTCATTCATCAGTACCTGGTGGTGGTGCGGTACATTTCTTCAGTTCTCTGTTTCTTAAGATTGGCAAGCAATCAAGATGTGGTGCATGATCCGATATTCTGATATTAAACATCCTTTACTTTTGGTTTTTGATGTTGCGGAGGCGAAATGCATGGAGCCATTCAGAGCAGGTATCCATCGGAAACGTTCGTGCCGATTACTAATTCATCACTACTACTACTACTACTTATTTATAACATTGAGTATAAGCATTAGAGCCGATTTAGTGGCTCCTAAATAATGAGCATAAGCATTGGAGTTGATTTAGTGATCAGGAGGCGATTTTCAGAACTCTTCTATTGCCGCCAGCCAACCAGTTTCATGGTTTAGGCTGGCGGCGGAAATTATGCCACCCTTTACAGAGATTCCTTTTCGGAAACAACATATACACACCGGTGCAGAGAAGTACGGCGAAAGCTGTCAAATCCAAAACCACGAGAAATGTGAATCTTCTAAATTAAAAATTGCCAGATAGTGATGGTGGCGGCAATTGGTGCTTGGCTAGCCAACTTTTTAAAAGAAGCGGCTGGCTGGAACACACACGGTTTTCCTGCCCCACACCACACGCTGTAGTGTACTGTAAGAGATCATAACTGGCACTGGTGGAGTATTTCGTGCGTCTGGATTGGTTATTTTCTAAAAAACAAAATTTCTAAATATAATATCACAATAAAAATAATTCAAAAACATTTCATTCATATAATATATTAAATATTTCAATTCTTTGCTGTACGAATGACTTTCACATTTCCAATTCGTGGGATTGGCTTTTTCTTTTTTCTTTTTTTTTTTTTTTTTTTTTTGGGGGGGGGGGGGGTCCTTTTCAAGTTGCATTTGCTTGCATTTTATAGATCCAAGACAGTGAGAAAGAATTAATAGTATAGCTTATCTGGAAAAAGACAGTACTGCATTCACAGACAACAAATTAACAAAAAAAAAACAGAGTAATGAGATGCACATAGTACAGGAAGCTATCGTCTTGGCTCAGTCCCCTCCGAATTACCCCAAAACCTCTTCAGGCCCTTTCTTTCCCTGTAATATTGGAAACTATCGTATAAAAAAAAAAAAAAGATGCACATAATAGTAAATCATAGTAGTAATTTGTAGCTTTCTCTCATGACTCGTGATTGCACATAAAGTCCTATTAGAACTGTGTGTACGAAGACATGTAATTTGTGATGATTTTTTTCTACTCACATTTTGAAACTCGAAAGAAATAGATATAAATCAACGCGAGTAAAATTGCCAGATCTTTTTCTCATGGAAAACGCGGACCGAAGCCATTTTCTATTGTTATCTAGTGTGTGTGTCTCTATGTATGTGTGTGTGTGTGTGTGTATATATATATATATATATTTTTTTTTTTTTTCGGGGTGTAAGGGGGAGGCCTCTTGTATTTACCGTTTGGTCACATGATCAGCCGACTTGGACGTTTCTGTCTAGCAGACTAGAATTTTCGAGGCCCAAAACATAACGGGCCTGTCTGCAGATTTTCCTGCCCCCTGTGAGTATTTGGTAAATGTTTCATCCGAATATGATAGAACGACTGTGAAAAACCCGCTTTGTTCCCAAGTCTCAACATCTATTATTTTGTGTCTACTGAATATCCAAACAAATGCCTGGACAAGTTTTAGCCGCGTCGAAGTGGTAAGTTTGCTTAATTGGTGATGACGGCCCAAAATGCATGGGCTTTTGATGGTGTCCTTTTTTTTGAAACCTTTTTGGCACGTGTTTATTCAATTATGGAAAAAGCGAGGGTTAACTCCACTTTGTCCCCCCAAACTTTGGACGATTACCCACTTCAGTTCTTAAACTTTAAAATGGGACACTTAAGTCCCTAAACTTATAAATACCTCATACTTAAGTCCCTAAACTTATAAAATGGGACACTTAAATCCCTAAATCCTTATAAAATGGGACACTTCGACCACCAACGGCATTCAGAATTTGTTAACAATTTTTCTTAAATGGGAGGTATTTATAAGTTTAGGGACTTAAGTGTCCCATTTTGAAGTTTAGAGACTGAAGTGGGTAATCGTCCAAAGTTTAAGGGGACAAAGTGGTATTAACCCTTAATGAAACTTTGCATCTAATCTTTTCAAATTCTCCTATCACTTTACGACAAGAGTAATGCCCAAGCACGATGGGACGAGGGAACGAACGAGT